AAAAAAAAAAAACCCGCATATGGAGCAGAGTGCAGTGGCACATGTAATCCCAGTGACTGGGGAGGCTGAGGCAGGAAGATCACACGCTGGAGACCAGTCTCAGCAATTTAGAGAGACCCTGTCTCAAAATAAAAAATGAAAAGGACTGGGAATGTAGCTCAGTTGAGAAAACCCCTGGATTCAATCTCCAATACCGGGGAGGGAAATTATGAAAGCCTGGGATGTTTCAAGGCTTGGCTAGGACCAGTTGCAGAATCTGGATAAAGGCACTGGCTCTTTGCAGGAATCCGGTGGGGACTTCAGAAAGAGAAAACAGTTGAGGAGGAACAATATTTCCCAGAGAAGACTTGAGAATGACTGGCAGCCTTGAAGAAACACCACGAAGATAAGATCGTTTGTCATCATAAGGAGATTGAACATCTGCAGAAAGAAATTGAGCCACATAAGAAGATCAAACATCTAAAACATAATGATTAAATGCACACAGTTCCCCATAAAATGGCACAAATGCCCACTTATACATAGATGGAATTCTGGCTTAATTAATATTTGTTCTGTGTGCTCCCAATAGATAAGTTGTCACTAGTGGGGGGGCATATATATATATATGCCAGACACAGCGGTGCAGGCAAATCTTTCCAGTGACTCTGGAGGCTGAGGCAGGAGGATCCCTGCATCAGCAACTTAGGGAGACCTTGTCTCAAGATTAAAAAAAAAAAAAAACTGAGGATATAGCTCAGTGGTAAAATGTCCTTGGGGTTCAATACCCAGTACCACAAAAGAAGAAAAAAAGAGAATATGGAAAACAACAACAACAACAAAAAAAAAACTTATGATAAATGTTAACTGAAAAAATAGGAGAAAAAGATCATGCAAGAGTCTTTTTTTTATTGGTTGTTCAAAACATTACAAAGCTCTTGACATATCATATTTCATACTTTAGATTCAAGTGGGTTATGAACTCCCATTTTTACCCCAAATACAGATTGCAGAATCACATATGCAAGAGTCTTGATTGGCCCTGGGGAGCTGGTCCTGTGCCCTCTGGCCGCCTCACRTCTGCGAGTGGGGACAGTCAGCTGGCAGCTGGGACTGAGTTGGGCAAGGAGAGCCCTTGGTCCTGGGAAACCCGGTGCAGCAGAAAAAGGGGCCGTCCTCTCAACTCAAGTTTGTGGGGAACCTGGCTGGGCTAAACCATTCATAGAGTACCTGCTTCTGGGTGAGGGTTTCAAAGGTAGCAGAACAGCCCCCTCGCTTTGATCTATTGAAAGTCAGCCCAGGACACAAGGGACAAAGGGCTGTCCTACCTTCTCCAAACACGWCATGATATGTGACAGAATTGGGGAATTGGAATGTTTTTCTCCTGGATGTCTGTCCAATCTGCAGTTGGACACATCTGTCAGTCAGTCCCCCAGTGGAGGGCTCTAAAGGATTCTCAAGGAAAAGAATAGAGCAAGTGAGTCCCAGAAACTTTCCATAGGATTAAACCTCTCTGTCTTCCACTCTGCCTCTTTTCTTCTGGGAAAAGAAAACCCAAAGTTTAAATAATGATAACAAACAATAAAATAATAACAAACAAAATATAGAAACTTGGAGGAAAAAAAAGAAAAGAAAAAGTATCATGCAAAATTACTGCAATTATATTAAAGAATCTATGCATAGGAAAAATAGGCGGGAAGAAAGAACAATGTTGGACAATGTTTGCAATAAGCTGATTGAATTCTCCTTCCCCAGCACATAAATAAATAAATAAATAAATAAATAAGAATTATTGGATCCTAGGTAGATTTTTTTTCTCATTATTTTTCAGATTTCCTCTACTGTGCTCAAGCTACCTTTATAAAAACAAATACTACTATAAAAGAGAAAGAATCCTGGTGGGAAGTAACAAAGGTGTGAATTAGGGCATTCATGGTAGAACCTGGAAGGGAAGAATAGGTTCAAAATGGTTGCTTACAGAATTATGGGTGGTGAGTGAATGGGCAGGGTGGAGGCAATGCTYACATTTGGGGAGCATTGGTTCCTTTGGAGAAACTGGGAGGACACTGGGAGAACCTCAGTAGAGATCCCTGGAGGAATCACAGCACAGTGGTTCAGAGCAGACTCCTGCAATATTCATCTGTGTTTTGAATCCTGGCCCAACCACTTAGAGATTGTTAACCCTGAGCAAATTATTTATCCTCTTTGAGCTTGTTTCCCCATTTCTAATAACGGCATTAACAACAGGGGATAATAATAGCATTTGTCTTTTAGTGTTGTTAGGAGGATGAATTGATATGTAGAGTTTAGAAGGTGCCTGGTGTAACATAAACTTTCAATAAAAATTAACTTTTGATGTGACCAGCAGCCCTTGGAGATCAGAAGCTAGTACTTCTCTGTCCCTAGCCACCTGTCAGACCAAAAATAGTTCCTTCACCTAACCTCCCTCACTTAGCTCACTACCAGAAGGTAACCCATGGGATGATCCAAAGTCCACACAAGTAGGAATGGGGGGACCTTAAAATGGGTAGGAGGATTGGAGAGGGGAAATGGGGTAGGATTAGAAACTAATTTGTAAAAAATTTCAAATTAAGTAGGCCAGGTTAACAGCAAAGCAGAGGCCCTGAAGCACTCTATAAGAGCCCTCTGGTTCCATGTCAGTGAATCAGGATGTTTTCTGTTGATGTGAGGCAGGGCAAAGAAGGGGATGTCCCCTTTGCCAATAGATGCTGCCTAATTCGTTCATTCTGCCTTCTGCATCTGGACCTAGAATTGCTGAGCACCTTAAAAAGAAAAATGAGAATGAACCCTGGGTGTGGTGGCACACACCCGTAATCCCAGCTACTCATGAGGCTAAGGCAGGAGAATTACAAGTGCCAGGCCAGCATGGGCAACTTAAGAAGACCCTATCTCAAAATTAAAAATAAAATAAAAAAAATAAAAAGGGTTGTCCTTCACATGTTATAAGGGAGGTAGCTCAGTGGTAGAACATCCCTGAATATTCAATCCCTAGTAACTAACACAGGGGACGAATATATATATATATATATATATATATATATATATATATATATATATATATATATATATATATATATATATATATATAGAGAGAGAGAGAGAGAGAGAGAGAGAGAGAGAGAGAATAGTGAGACGGATTAGAGGGAGCCCTGTTTTCAAGTCTGGCCTCTAGCAACATCTCCTGTCATCTCCCCTTGCACCCCTGCACACTCAGGAGATGAGTCTGTGAGAAACTATCCAATGTCTAGCTGAAACCTAGGACACATTCCCTGAAATACGACCACATTCCCTGACTACATAACATGCCCAGTGCGTGCCTTCATCTCAACTCTGGTGTTCTGCTACTCCAGCCCTAACCTGTTCRGCTGCCACCCATGCAGCTTCTATAGGGACTCAGTTCCATTAGCCTACTTCCCAGCACTACCTGCCTGTTTTCTGATGGCTGTGACCATACTCCTCTTATATCTTGCCCTTGTCCTGCCTGATGCCCATTCCTTATCTCTGAAAGCTGACCCCTCAGGACAACAGCCACCTATGGTCTCCTCAGGGAAAGAGCTCAGCCTTACCTGGGACCCTCTCCACATTTACTTATTTTTTTAAATTTCTTTTTTCTAATTATTTGTTCTAATTAGTTATATACTCTAGCAGAATGCATTTTTTAAAATATTTTTATTTTATTTATTTATTTATTTATTTATTTTAATTTTTTTTAATAATAATGTACCTCAGATAATTAGCTTTATTTTTTATTTTTTTTTTAGAGAGAGTGAGAGAGGGGAGAGAGAGAGAATTTTTTTAACATCTTTGTTGGTATGTGGTGCTGAGGATCGAACCCGGGCCGCATGCATGCCAGGCGAGCGCGCTACCGCTTGAGCCACATCCCCAGCCCTATTTATTTTTTAAACAATTATTTTTTTTAAAGAGAGAGAGAGAGAGAGAATTTTATTTATTTTTTAGTTTTTTCGGCGGACACATCTTTGTTTGTATGTGGTGCTGAGGATCGAACCCGGGCCGCACGCATGCCAGGTGAGCACTACCGCTTGAGCCACATCTCCAGCCCCAGAATGCATTTTGACTCATTATATACAAACGGAGCACAACTTTTCATACATGCACATAGAGTCCCCTCTACATTTATGTAATTTCTTTCCCACTTGAACCATTTTGGCCCCAGCTCTCCTAGAACTGACCCCTTTCAACTCAGAAATTTTCCATACTCTGCCYCCTCCATCTCTGGTCCTGAACCCTCTTTCATTTTCCTCTCTTAATTGTGACCTCCTCCTCCTCTCACCTCTATCCATCCCCTCCTAACTTCCATACCTCTACCTATCTCCTACCCCAATCTTCTTTCCTGACTCTCTCTGCAGTCTGACACTYGCCTCTCCATGGGCTAGAACATCAGCAATTTTATAAGCAATGATCAGATACATGAGGCCATTTCCTACAATGGTTATACTCTCAGAAATGACATGTACAATCTCCTTTGTTTTCTCCCCCCACCCCCTTTCTTGGAATTGAACCCAGGGGCACTTTACCACTGAGCTACTTCCCCACCCTTTTTTAATATTTTATTTAGAGACAGGGTTTTTCTGAATTGCTTATGGCCTCGCTAAGTAACTGAGGCTGGCTTCAACTTGAGATCTTCCTGCKTCAGCCAACTGAGACACCTCATCCTTTCTTTAAGGCACAGAGCAGACTCAACTCTCCCTCTGCCCCTAGGAATTTCTCTCTGGGTCCCTATCTCCAACTCACTCCAGAATCCCAGCCTACCAGAGCATTTGGGTTTCCACCCATGGGAGTGGTAGATTYCAGGCATCACTGTGCCAGGCACAAACCTCAGCCTGTCCAACCTCATTTCTCTGTCCCTTTTCCCTAGGATCATTTCTTGCAAGAAATCTCCTTCCTTCAGATGTTCCCTTCCTCCTGGTATATGCTGTCTATGGATGGGAGCCCATCACAAGAATCCAATCCAACCTGCTAGGTGAGGTGGAAATAGCCTGGACTACTGGGAAGGCTGGGAAGATGGAGCTCTCTAGTGTCATCCTGTCTTCTCCAAAAGCTAGGTTTTCCTTCTGGGCATCAAAAACCCATGCTGGGACCTTGTCCYGGCAGATTGGGAGCAAATAGTCAAGTGTTTTTCATTTAACATGGACCCTACAAGCAAAAAGACTTCTTCTGAACCTGGTGCTCAACCACTGAGACAATGATTTGTCCCAATAATGGAGAAAAAAAAATCTGGGGCTAGGATTGTAGCTCAGTGGTAGAGTGCTTGCCTAGCATGTGTGAGGCACTGGGTTCTATTCTCAGCACCACATGCAAATTAAATAAATAAATTAATTAAAGGTTCATCAATAACTAATAAAAATATTTTAAAAAATTGGAGTTGGTGGTCTTTTCTTGGTTGTGGTTCAACAAGCTTCCTCCTTCACTTTTTTAAGTTTTACTACTCTCAGTTCATTGATCACACATCTGTCTCCCACACCAAAGTTCAAAGTTAAAATCCTGAAGCTATGGTATCCAGCCATAGTTGGGTGTTCTATCCTGAAGCTAAGAGGTATTCACTAGGGCCCTAGGGAAATTGAGCAGTGTAAAGCTTGCAGATCTGTCTCCTTTCTAAACCTACTCTCATCTGCCAACTAAGGAGCCTTCTTGCCTGTCTGCAGCTGGGTTTTCATATGCAATATGGACAACATAACCCCTGCCCCTGCTTCAGAGGGTAAAAGGTTCAAATGAAGTGACTGATAGGGAGGTCCTGTGAGGTATGAAATGCTCTTTAGTGTGTCTGTGGAAGGGAGGAGAGTTAGAAATTATACAAGGAGTTCCCAGACTGTGGCCTGGACTTGGCCTGAAACAGCCGTACCTTCTTGGACTGGAGTCAAAACCAGGTCCTCTTTCCATTGTCAATGTCAGTGTCTGGGCTCAATTTGTTGTTCCTGACTCCTCTCGTATTTATCAAGCCTTTGAAGAAAGTTCTGCAGAGCATTGACTTCTTTGCCCCTTAGCACACTAGGAAAAGGAATCAGTTGAACCAAGAACTTTAGGTTTTGGGCAGCAACATCCAGACCACCCTGGGCAAAGTCAGAGGAATTCTGCAAGCAAATTCAAGTTCATGGCCCAAGGCTCAACCTCGGTGTGAGCCTGGTGAGGGACCTCCTGAGACCCTCCAACATTACTGCTGTTCTGAGCCCAGCCCAGAAAAGACAGCCTTTATGCAAATTGTATACCTCATCCTCAGGGAACTGCATTCCTGTATGGGAGACTTCCTTACTCTTATGTAGTATCTTAGTTTCCTAGAGCTGACATAATAAATTGCCACAATTCCTCCACCCTTCCTTACTGGGGTATTGTTGAACTGGGAGTGCTTTACCACTGAGCAACATTACTAGTTTTTTTTCTAATTTTTTTTGGGGGGGATAGGGTACCAGAGGTTGAACTCAGTGCACTCAACCACTGAGCCACATCCCCAGGCCTATTTTGTATTTTATTTAGAGACAGGATCTTACTGAGTTGCTTAGCACATTGCCATGGCTAAAGATGGTTTCCAACTTGTGATCTTCCTGCCTCAGCCTCCCAAGATTACAGGGATACACTACCATGCCTGGCCTTAGTCGTTTTTAATTTTTTATTTTGAGACAGGGTATCACTGAGTTGCTTAGGACCTTATTATAGTTGCTCAGGCTGACCTTGAATTTGCAGTCCTCCTGCCTTTGCCTCCTGAGTTGCTGAGGTTAAGAGATGTACATTATCATACCTGGCAAATTTCTATAAGCTCCAAGCTTGTTCTCTCATAGTTGCATAGACCAGAAGTCCAAAACCAATGTTGTTAGTTTTGGCTTATTCTGGAGGCTCCAAAGGGGAACCCATCCTATGACTCTTTCCTAGCTTCTGTTGACTGTCAACAATCCTTGGTGGTGCTTGGATTGTAGACCAATCCCTCCAATATCTGTCTCTGTCCTCACATGGCCTCCTCCTTCCATGTCTATGTGTTTTCTCCTTTTCAGTATCCTTACACTCATTATTGAATTTAGGGCTCACGTGAATCCAGGATGATTGATTGATTGGTTGATTATTAGGGATTGAACCCAGGRGCACTTAACCACTGAGCAACATCCCTAGCCCTTTTTTGTATTTTATTTAAAGACAGGGTCTTGCTGAGTTGCTTAGGGCCTCACTAAGTTGCAGAGACTGGCTTTGAGCTTGAGATCCTCTTGTCTCAGCCTCCGGAGTCACTGGTATTACAGGTATGGCCACTGCACCTGGCCCAGGATGATCTCTTCTGTCAAGAAGAGATTCCTTACCTTAATTATACCTGCAATCACCCTTATTCAAAACAAGATCACATTCTGAGGTTCTGGGTAGACATGTCTTTTGCAAGTCACAACTCAATCTGCTATAAGGCGATTCAAATTATTATTATTATTATTATTATTATTAATTTTTTTGTGGTGACGGGGATCAAATCCATGACCTTACACATGCTATGGTACACAATCTACCACTGAACTATATCCCCAGCCTAGTTTCCAGTTTGATGATGGCGATCCACCCCATTGTTGAAGAATCCCTGAGTCCTAGAGGAGAAACATGCCCTCCTTTAAGAAGACCCATTTGTCTCTGGGTTTGATGCCCAGCACTGAAAGAAGAAAAAGGAGGAGAGAGGAAAGGGGGAAGGAGAGGAGAAGGAAAGAGAAGAGAAAGAGCCCCTTTATGATGGAGAAGACCTTGATTCCCATTCTGGTCCTCAGGAATCTTTTTAAATATCTATCTATCTATCTATCGTCTGTCTACCTACCTACCTACTTACTTATCTATCTGTCTTGGGAATTGAACCCAAGGGTGATCTACATCTGAGTTACAGCCCTGGCCCTTTTTCTTTTCTTTTTCTTTTCTTTTTTTTTTTTTTTTTTTTTTGAGAGAGAGAGAGAGAGAGAGAGAGAGAGAGAGAGAGAGAGAATTTTAATATTTATTTTTTTAGTCTTTGGCGGACACAACATCTTTGTTTGTATGTGGTGCTGAGGATCGAACCCGGGCCCACCGCATGCCAGGCGAGCGCGCTACCGCTTGAGCACATCCCCAGCCCTCTTTTTTTTTTTTTTTTTAACAACATGGATGTTTAACCACTAATCCACTCCCCAGCCCTTTTTATATATAATTTAGAGACAGGGTCATACTAAGTTGCTTAGGGCCTTGCTAAATTGCTGAGGCTGGTCTGAAACTTGTGATTCTCCTGCCTCAGCCTCCAGAGTCACTGGAATTACAGTTGTGTAACCCAACTGATTATTCTCACTTGTATATTTCCTCAGCCCCAGGAAGGTACAGATATATATATATATATATATATATAATGATGGACACAAAACCTTTATTTATTTATTTATTTTTATGTAGTGCTGAGGATCAAACCCAGTGGCTCACACTTGCTAGGTAAGTGCTCTACAACTGAGCCACAACCCCAGCCCCAAGTACAGCATTCTTAGGGAAAGCAAACTCAGAACCCATCACTTTGGGCACTGACCAGTGACAGATAAGAGAAATGGAAAGTGATGACTGGGGCTTAACAGAGTGGTGGCAAGGAATTGAAGGTAGGGGACAGAGCTGGGAGATGAAGGAAAGATTTGTGACTGAGACTTGTTCCTTTTTTTTTCAGGGGTGGGATGGGAGCAGAGAAGCGGTGCTGGGGATCAAACCCAGGGCCTCACACATGTTTAGGCAAACTTTCTACCGCTGAGCCACATCTCTAGCCCTCTCTTCTGTTTTCTTGAATTTTTTTCTCAGCTGTCCCCACTTRCATGACCCCTTGGAGCTAGTTCAAAAAAACTACTCATAGAGAAAGACAGATTGACTGTAGTTTCTCTTCCTGGTGTTCACTCATGTGAAGCACATAAACCTTCTTTGTATTAAGTATCTAACTACTGAAAATTAAGGAGTTGAGTCAGGCACAGTGGTGCACGTCTGTAATGCCAGTGACTTGGAAGGCTGAGGCAGGAGGATGGCAGGTTTGAGGCCAGTCTCAGTAATGTAGCAAGTACTTAAGCAACTGAGCAAGACCGTGTCTCAAAATAAAAAAATAAAAACTGGGGCTATAGCTCAGTGGTAAAGCACTGTTGAATCCAATTCCCAGTACCAAAAAAAGATAAAAAGGTCAGGATTTGGTAATAGACAAAGCTATCAAAAGTGAGAACCATGCTGGGCTTGGTGGTGCATGCCTGTAATCCCAGCAGCTCTCTCAGAGGCTGAGGCAGGAGGATCATGAGTTCAAAGCCAGCCTCAGCAACAGGGAGGTGCTAAACAACTCAGTGAGACTCTGTCTCTCAATAAAATACAAAATAGGGCTGGGGATGTGGCTCAGTGGTTGAGTACCCCTGAGTTCAATCCCCAGTATCAAAAAAAAAAAAAAAAAAAAAAAAGAAAGAAAGAAAGAAAAGAAAAGAAAAGAAAGAAAAAGTGAAAAACGTGGAGTCAAGAATTCATTCCCAGATCTGGCTAAATTTCTCCTGGAACCAACTGGGAAGATGTACATTCTATAACAACTTATTTCCTTTATTGGTGACACCACAAAGATTTAAGAAATCTAATCAKTCTTCTTTGCTCTTTCTGACTTCCCCTCAAACCTCTCTACACTGGAACTGTTCTCATCTCCTCTTTCAAAGCAGCCCTTCCCTCAAACACAGCAAAGGTTAGATAATGTCTTTCCCTTTCCCAACATTTACTGAGTCCTACTTCCTACAGAACTCACTAGGATCTGACCAAACTCCCCATAAATCTCCTACCCCATATGGACCCTCCATTATCTCTGAAGGAGAACTGAGAATGAGCCAATCTAGTCTTTGATGAGCAGTCACCTAATTTTCCCTCTGGGCAACTATYTTAGATATCCCGGTCTAAGATATCCTGCCCCCAGCTTTGGCCCAGGGCCTAGTCTGCTTATCTCTGAGTTCCTCCTCAATTCTTGCCCTCAGTTTTCCCTTCTTTCTCCCCACTGTGACTCCTAGAACCCTATTCATCCCTCAACATCAAGGCTCTGCTCACCTCTTCTGGAGAAGACCTGCCCTGCAAATCTGAGGCTCCTTGTTATTCTTAGAACCTGCCTGGGGATGTTAAGGGTGAGGGAAATGGTTAGCTCTTCCCACT